CCCTCACCATTGAGGGTTATTGTGAGCATGGTGTTTTCTTTCGAGTGTTTAATTCTCTCTGAGGAGTTGGAATCCTCGCTCCATGGGCTGTTCTCGTGGTAGTGCTGAGCAGTGCTCCCCTTTTATCAAAGGGTTACCTATGAGCACGCTACGTCCAGGCCCTAACAGGTACGTTTTTGGGGTATGTAGCCTAGGCCTTTGGCCGTAGGGAATAATGTCACTGACAGCGTCTAACATCCCAGGGGCAACTCCCATGCTCAGGTTACTTATGTAACCATGGTTCCCTGAGTAGGGAACGAGACACTGTGTCCTCTAGGTTTCTTGCCATGCTTCGGAAGCAAGCTTCAGACGAAGAAGCGGATTATGTGTTCTCCCGGCGTCTATTTATACTATAGTTGCACCGGTAGTGGCGTCATGGCTGTCCCCGGCCAACATGTTGTTAGTGTTTTTTCAATGAATGCTTCAGACACGGGTCACGACGAGGCGTTCCCCATAGCGACCCCTAGAGGATGCAGTGTCTCATTCCCTACTCAGGGAACCATGGTTACATAAGTAACCCGAGACGATTTTTTGGAAGATTTAACAGGATTGAAGTTTCCGCCAGCTGACACACTTTGATTTACACTTTGAGGCCCTTACAGCACATGAATACAGGTATTCATGTCTCACCTGTGGTGATTATCCCCCAGTGGTGATAATGGATCTACACAAAAAGGGTGTTTTCCAGTTTTCTGGTATGTTTATTGTAATCATGTTCACTTCCAAGTTCTATTAATTAATTAATTTATTTATTTATTTTACATGTTATTGCATTATAGTGTAATACACATTTTTTATTATTTTTTCTTCCAGTAAGTGACATAGAGGAACCGAGGGGATGTCAATGTAGAAACATTCTGGGACGCAGTGTCCAAAGAGATGAAATGTCATGGATTTGTTGCAAGTATGTGCAAATATAGTTTTTTTTATGCACTGCATTGCAAAGAAATTAAAATAATCACAGTTCATTATGTTTTTAATTCTGCTGTTGTAGGTGGTGCACAAAATCCATTTGCAGTTAAACCTACATATCATTTCTGGGCTCCTTGGATTGGCAAGAACACACGTCGTTCAGACAGTGTGCTAAACACAGATTGTGAAAAACTTCATTCTTCAAAGTCTGCCTCAGAGACTGCAGAAATGACGGTGACAGAGGAAGAACTTCAAAAGCAAAAGGTTTGTTTGTAATGCTTTTTTTGGGGGTTTAGTATTTTTTTTTCCAATATACACTATATTCAGTAATATTTTTTGTAGGTTAATGTTATTCGGAACCTATGCAAAGAATATGGTCTGGGCTCCACTGGATCTCGGAGTGACCTCCTCCTCAGATTGTCTAATGAAATGAAATCGAGGCAAACATATGATAAAATCTTTGAAAAAATCTGGGGTCTATCTGGGGAAAAGTCTCTGGTGAGCTTAATTTCTAATACTGTTTTGCTTGGTGTTACAAATATAGCCTTGGATATTACAATCAATATATTGCCAATACATTAATGTTTAATTTTTTTTGATTATTATTCTTCCCCCCCGTAAAATCTTGAATTCTCCGTTTCATTTGTCCTATATTAGGAGGCTGGGGAGTCATCATGTGCTCATGTGGCATAGTTTAGTTTAAAACGCAATCTTCGAGCAGAAAGCCCTCGAGATTTTGCTGACCTTCTGTTCTCGTGGAAGCATATGCCAAACATCATCATTTATGACTTCTCACATGGTTTAGCAACACATGCCAATCTAAGGTCACCAGAAAGCATTCCTATTCGTCCATATGAAGGATGCTTAGCAGAACCCACTGAAGAAAACATTACACTTGCCAAATCTGGAAATCTGAAAGTGTCCTTGCCTTGGCTGGAGGGAAAAAAAAGAGTGCAAGTGATCCTCAAGGACACCCACTGACAGGGTCTTCTGATCATTATGTATTGTCTGACCGTTTTCACGAGAGCAATACCAAAGACAGCAGAGATGTTCTGAGGAAGATCACTATAGTGCCTCAACTAGCTGGCAAAATAAATAGTCAGGTTGCAGAGCAACTCTTCTCAAAGATGAGGAAAAATAACTACTACTTGAACATGTCTCAGCCATCAACACACCTCTTTCAAATGAGGACAATAATTCACCACTGTAACGAAAACAAGAACAAAAAAGTGAGGACTATATTAATGAAGACTTTTGGATCAAAGTTGGTGGTGAATATGCATGGACAGGCTGTTCTGGGTAAATTAAAATATCTTTATATGAAATACTTTTTTTTAAGTAGTGGAAATACATAGGTCACCAACCAGTGTGTGTGTGTTTAAAAGAAATATAAGGTTTGAGTCTAGTTCTTGTTAGCTGTTTTGTATTGTTATAGAAAATTCTGACATCTCTGTTGATGAGCCAGTCCCCACAGACATTGAGATGGAGGACACGACCCCGACATCCATGATGATCCCAACCAGTAGTAAGTGTTAACCTTTATTAAGTCTTAATATATCCTGATGCAAGACATTGTATGTAATTATCCATTTTTACTATTACAGCAGAACATGAAATAGCATGTAAGATCAAACACCTTTCTGCCAGTAGAGTTTGTTGGGATTGTCTGCCAAGCCATAGGCAATCAGCCATGGTATGTGAATGACAGTTTTCAGTTTTATTTGATGTCGCAATGGCACTCCCACATTAAATCAAAACTGTTTAATTAATTCATTAATTTATTTATTTATTTTTCTTCTCTCATTTGTCTTTAAGCTTGAATGGGCTTTGGGGACAGGCGACAAAGATGAGACAATTGCTGAAGTCGGAAACTTTGTTCTGAAAAAGAAAGATTTCTGGACTCTAGGTCTCAATGAGCAGTTGGAGGCAATAGTGAGTTGACATAAAGTAACACACAATAACAATAAGAAATGTCTGTGACTCTTTACAGTTCTCTTTTTAAAAATTGCAGATTACAAACAGCTGTCTTGAGGTAATTGCATTGGTGGCTAAGGAACGAGTAAGTATTTGTAAAGATGCAAATCTCAAATAGCCAGAGACACAGTTGTCTAGCTTGTGTATAGTCTTACATGGGTATGTTATGTTGTAGGGAATGGATGTGTGGACAGCTAATGCATATGTTGTGGTCACCTGGTTGCCTCCACATAATCTGGACCCATCCTTGTCATTTCCAGTGAGGCCACAATGTTATATAACATTCACGGCAGTGACCAATTTTATTTTAAACCAACTGAATGTATTTTTTTTTTTTTATATTATTTATAGGATTACATTGCACTGAAAGATTGCATTGTCTTCCCTGTTTGGAAGCCAGGACACTGGATGTTGTGCGTACGTAATTTGTAATCTGGCTGTTTAACTTTGCAGTGCTGTCTGGAAATTGTCTGCATATGTCTTATCACAATTCAGAGATGCCATTTCATGATAAAGAACTACTAACTATATTTTGTAGGTCGTAAAGCCAAAAGATAGGCACATATTCAAGTCAAGTCAAGTCAAGTCTGCTTTATTGTCAATTCTTCCACATGTACAGCACATACACACAGAGAATTGAAATTGCGTTACTCTCAGACCCTTGGTGCATACAGATAACACTAACAGTAGAACATAAATACAGATATACAGATTAAATATAAAATACAACTATACAAATATACAAATAAGGTAAAATGTAAAAAAAAATATATAAAAAATAAAAATAAAAAAAAAATATATAAAGCAGCACACGCATACGTACAAAAACACTGCGACTCACAAGACAAAAAACACGAAAACACCTTTCTGTCGGGAGAGAGAGAAGCCGCAGCATGTGAACGCGCCGCCATCTTTTCGCTAATATTCTTCCTAGATTCAACCAATCCATATGGGTTGGGTGATGAGAGACGTGAAAGTTTTCAGGTTGCAAAAATAAATAGAAGTGAAAATGTTGAAGGTTCTCAGTTCAGGCTTGCTGTTCAAGGTTTGTGTTCAAGTTTTGCCATTCAGAGTGTGCTGTTCAAGAGTTTAATAACCTTGCTTTATGGCTACTTGCATGATGTTCCGATTTTGCATGCTGTGACAGTTTTTACTAGAAAGACCCAAATACTGTTGACTGCTGTAGGTGGGTTCATGCCATATCGTAATTAAAGTTATTATGAGATAATCAACTTGTAAAATGCATTCACGTCCTCATAGAACTCGTAATTACAACTTGTGAAGTGGGAGTTTTCTTATAGCTACGACTTGTACCACCTGACCACCTCAGATTCATTAGGCGATATGTTTAGGCATTGATAGTGCGATAGTTTCGGGTCCGAGTCCAAGAGTGAACAACTCCAAGTAGAACGTCATGCGTTGTCATCTCGAAATCACAGTAATTACGACATGACGTGAATGCAGCATGTGTCTTCCATGGATTCAAAGCTTCAAACTGTATGTAACTTAGCATATTAACAAATCTGTTTATTATTTATGTATTTTTGTTGCAGTAAGATGACAGCCAAAATTGCACCTGGAACATGGGTGCTACTGAAAAATAAGGTTGGTTATAAGAAGTCTGCTAAAGTTGGGACAAGTGTCAAACCCTTAGATTTAATGTCATTAAACTTCTAATTCATATGATCATGCACATCTTGAAAATCTACAAATGATTTTTACAGATGTTATACAATGATTAAAAGCTTTCGTTAATGCACAACACCTTTGCTGCTGTTGAGGTGTGATACGGGACAGGTTTGGGTAAGTTTAAGGGTTGGGTAAGGGGTCAACAAGTGTACAGGGGTCAATTTGATTACTATAAGGGAACACGATTCAATCGGTTTATATTGCATTGTTTTGATAAATGATCATTTAAGTATTTTCTTGAAAATTTGTTGTAGTTTTTCCCCCTCCTGTTGATGTATGATTCAAGGAAGATTCTGTTTAACGATTCAAGGAAGATTCTGTTTAACGATTCACAATAGCATACTAATATAAGTGTTGAGGCAATAAAAACATGTTTTGCATCCAAATTAAAATGTGTATAATGTCTCTACAAAGCATTTAGCTAAACTTAACTAACCACCCTATAAACAAACTGTTACAGTAGCTAAAAGTCCAGTGCCAATAAAGATAAAAAAAAAAAAAAAAGTAAATGTTTATAAACATTTACAAATGATGAATAGTCTCAACTTTAGATTGGGTGAAAAACATGAACATATGATTAATAAATTATTTGTAAAGATGTGAAAATAGGGTAAATTCCGGTCATTTTGGACACTTTGCCATCAAAATGACTGCTCATGAAGGTACTAATGATTAGTAAATGTTTATATACATTTACAACTGATGAATAGTTTCCACTTTAGATTGGGTACTGCAAAAACATTAACAAATTATTAATAAATGATTTAAGATGTGCAAATAATAGAAGTCTACACAACAAACAAAGACCAAATATATGACATTTACAGACTGTGATTATGAGTTAATGAATATATTAACATGAATCGCTTGTGAAGAGCTTAAAATTAATAATTAAGCTATATTTTCACAACATTTGTAAATGTAAAAATGGGCATTAGCTAATATGTGAACTTAAGTTTAATGACACTTGTAAGCATTCAACAGTACATTAACAAATACATTTGTAATCATTGTGTAATTTCTATTAAAATCATTTGTAGATTTTTAAAACGCATTGAATGTTTAATGACATTTGTAACCATTAACTAATGATCAGTTAAGCATTATATTTAAGTTTGTTAATGATTTATTAATGAAGCTTTTAATCATTGTAAACCATCTGTCAAGATCATTTGAAGATTTAAAAAAAAATGCATGATCATATGAATTTAAAGTTTAGTGACATTTGTAAGCATTTCAATTTACATTAAATAATGATATGTTAATCATTTGGTAATGTTTAATAAGTTCATTAGTTAACATTAGCAAGTACATAATCTCATATTTATAGATATGTGAATATATATTAAGTAATGATTAGCTAAACATTATATAATGTTTGTTAATGATTTATTAATGAAAGTTATTATAAAGTGTTACCGATAAATGTTATACAAAATTTTGGTCATTTTGATGAATTTTTATAAATGATTCATCCCTGAAATTTTTCCATGTGTGCGCCCCGGAGTACTTCTCTCTCGCTCAGACGCATAGCAACTCCAGGTTAAGGATAAAGTACCTTGAAGTTTAGCCTACAATAACTACGCACCTAACAAAACAATTTACACTTTTCATTTAATTTTCACTTTATTATACGTAACAAAAAAGAGGGGAAATGTGCAAAAGGTCACTCATCTCACTAAAATAGGCTAATATTATCACTTATGTTATGCTATTTTGCTTGCCCATTATTACACATAGTACAACATCAATCATTTTTCTTTCCAACTTCAAAAAGAAAAAAAAAAGCAGTTTGGGGGGGATTTATGGTATTTTAAAATTGATTTGCCTGAATTTGTCAAAGTTGAAGTAAAATGAATTTCATTTAGAGGTGGCAGAAGGGTTCGCCAGGACTCCACACTAGCTAGAACTGCCACTGTGTGCCATTATTATTCTACTGACCGGCAACTTCAGTGATTAAGAAACGCTTTTGATGTGTGATTCAGTTGCAAATTAAAGTCATTTTGTGACTTTTCTTACATCATAAACAAAGTGCAAAACATTGACAAAATGTGATTTCTTGATGATTTGATATTTTATAATAGCGAATTTATAATTTCAAAATATAAAGCAAAAAGTAAAAATAAATGAATAAGCTGATAAGTGCTCCTCTGCTGCCATCTACTGGTTATAGTGGTAATTTGATGTATTTATTTTTTTTTTTTTAAATAATTGTTTGTTAACCACAAAATGTATTTGGTTATCATATTAAAAATAACATTTAAACTTTTATTTTTAGAGATTTAAAGTGCTGTTAATAGTTGTGTTGTCATTGAAAAGTGCTTGAATCTCTCTCTCAAAAGGTTGTACAAACCCTGAAATTAATGAGGTAATAACTATTTCTGCCACAACACCATGGTATACTGTAGTTAGCATTACTTCTTCTGGTTTTCTACATCAGCGCTATTTGATGTTTATAAAAGAGAATTCTGTGCAGAATTTGAATTCTTTTCACTAGATCTCACAGCAACATTATTCATTCTGCGGTGAAACTAGATCTCGCAGCAGTAACAGTGTCGCGAGATCAGCATTGGTTCTGTTCTGAGCTCTGACCAGTTTGCATGTGTTTGCGCTGTGCTCAATTATTGGTATGAGCTGATAAGCAGCTCAAACGAGTAGCACTGTTTTGTTACACTTTTGTTTCGTTTGCTGTTGTCTCATATGCAACAGAAATTGCAGCTCTTATTAGTTGGGCAAGGTGCGACTGCTGATTCACGAGTTCGCACTAACATATAATGTGATTGAGCAATTAGTAGCATATTTGGCGTGCTGTCCAGAGGGAGGGCTCCGAGCTCGGGTTAAAGCCCGAACCCAGAGAACTCCCCAAAAGAAGCTAA